ACACCAAACTGTTGTTAAAGACCGACCAACCCGTGGCGTAAAAAGTCTGCTAGCTAAAAAGCAAAATTCTAGCAAAATTCAAGCAAATTCTAGCATAACTCAAGCAAAAACAATGTTCGAAACTATCGTTGTGTGCAACTTGACTTTCATCCGCTGTGTTTCGCGTGCATCACATTTTATTTTATTAGACTTAAAAATCGCTTGTTACATTATAAGATGGAGTGCGACGAACTGCTCAAACAAATGTTTGATGACGATGATAATAATAACTAGGATTGCCTCCTGGGCAATACTGACAGTCTTCAGACTTCCCCATACACTCCCCGTGGCTGCCTTTACTTGTACTGCTTCTTTGGACGCCAGCTGGAGCGTCGATTTTAACTCTTGGAGTTACGGGTGTTTGAAGTGTTGAAGCCAGAACACTAATTGTTTTGACTGTAGACCTAAGAACAAAGGAGCTAATGCCTGTTATAAGAGGAACTATTTCTTTGGGCATTGGAAAACCAGGAATTGGCGATTGCAGCTACATTTTACTGTCGCTTCCTTCAGTTATCGCACAACTGACAAAATGCGAAAATCCTAATGTCCCTCCTTGTTTGTGGCGTAATTGTGGCGTAATTATTTCTCTTTTACAAAACAGTAATGTGAAGCAGAAATGTCCCCCATTTCATTATCTACAGTTTGGTACCTTGAAAAATGAAATCCATTGTGTTTTCGCAGAGCTGTAAACCCTATAAAATGCGTTTTGACCAAATTGACTAACTTTCCAAGGGTAGTAACTCCGACACTATTCAAGATATCGACATGCCTTGAAGGATTTCAGTAGTCCAAAGTGTGGGCTTTAAAACGATATATACAACACGATAGTACTATATGCCGTTCTGGAGAAGAAGATTTTTAAACACAGGCACCGTCAAAACGTGCGGAAATGTGAAAAATCGTAAAGGTTGTGTTTGTGTCGTAATTGTGACGTAATTATTGAATTTTACAAAACCATAATGTGAATCAAAAATATTTCTTACTCAATTGCCTACATTTTGGTACCTTGAGCAATGAAATCCATTGTGTTTTCGCAGAGCTGTGACATTTTTATGAACCATATCAAAATGCGTCAATTTCCAAGGGCGATAACTCCAAACCTATTCTAGATATTGATATGTCTTGAAGGGTTTAAGTAGTGCGGAGTGTGGGCTTTAAAATGATATATCGGATACGATTTTACTATAAGCCTTTCTGGAGAAGAAGATTTTTGAAAACAGGCACCGTCAAAACATGAAAATCGACAAATATTTCATTTTTTTCAAAATAGCGAAAGATTTGACCTGCCGGCCAACTTCCGCTATGAGTTGAATCGACGGGGAATGGTGTTGTTTACATTGAGTGAAAATCTGGTACATTTAACGCTTACAGTTTACAGTTTTGGAGAAATTTGAGGTGTAAATAGTTTGACATTTTGGGTTATCTGCCCTTACCGGAAGCCGGAAGTCGACTCTGTATCAAATTCAGCATACAGGCTATCATCCCTGAAAGTTGCATGAAAATCGGCCCAGCGGTTAGGTCAGGAGAGCTGTCACAAAATTTGTACAAATAATAAGAAGAAAGAATATTCGGATAATAACAGTAGGTCTTCCAGACTTTCGTCTGAAGACCTAATAATATTCGGATAATAACAGTATGTCTTGCAGACTTTCGTTTGAAGAACTAATAAAAACGACAAGCGAGAGAGACTGGTGGCTCTCGCGATCAGCGGCAAAGCCAAACAATACGAGGGTGGTGGGGGCTCCCGAAAAAATTCATAAAATGCCAACCGAAGAAATCGTCAAGCTGTACGCGAGTAGCTAAGATACATAGCATTCACTGACATGGCAGTGAACGCTATGTATCTTAGCTATACGCGAGATACGAATAGGGTCTGTCATAACGCAAGTCTACGCCGGCATAGCATCGTACTTCATTCCCATTCTACTGGAACATCGACTTTACCTGTGGAAAGATCTCGCGAAAGATCCGTTCATCGACCACACTTTGAGCGCCGTCAGTTGTGCTGTACCACAGATACGGCATGTTTTTAGCTCCAATGACCACAGCAATGATAACGGCAAAGCATTGTCAATTTAAAGAAGAAATAACTTATAATGATAATAATATACAACATGGATGTGCAACAGGAGGAGGAAACGCCGACAGAGGAAGCAACGACCACAGCGATATGACTAGTCACCACCACCAAGAATCCTAAAAAAGTCGCCGCCGGTAGAAAAGGTGGTTTAGCCAAGCACCACAAAAATAATGATACTCCGTGGATTGTTGCCGCCATGGCAGCAACTTGATTAAGCGTGGTCCTCGTCGTTATAATGCTATATAATAATAACAAGCAACCACCACCACCACAGCAGCAGATGACGCAATCACAATTAGGAATAAATCCGCATGTTCTGTTATAAAATATATATATATATATAGATAGTTTACATTTAGACACACCCGATGTTGTCTGAAGGAAAAACATTCGTCAACGATGCATATCACGCCGTCGTAGTCGCCGGACTAACCGTAGGTCACGCTCGCTTAATGAAAATGGTTCTCAAACAGCCGAAGATCAAACTCAATTTCAATGTGCAGGACATGGGCATGCTCATCATGGACTTAGGGATGGCGATGGCCAACATGGACATTCTCGTGAAACAAGGAATTATACTGGAAAATATTTTGAAGTAATATTATAATATTTTAAAAAATAAATGACTACGATCGCCATGATGGTCGGTGGTGCATTAGTCAACGCCCTCGCATTTTCAGGCAGCAATTATCTCTTCTCCAAATTACGAATGTCACGATATGGCCTTGGAGAAACTGCAAGCCGTGCAAGCCGAGTACGCCAATTACACGTGCAAAATGTGAGGCATGGGCGTGAAATGCCATTATCGTCATTCCAAAGCCCACGGAGCGGACGTGGTACGAGGCCATCTCATCTACTTGACGAAAAGAGACTATCTCAACGAACGCAACCGACTGCTCAGAATAAGAATCTAACATGCATCACGAAAATCGCTTTCTTTTAAAGTAGGTTAAAAGTTTAACTATCCTACGTATTGACGGGATTGCTAACATTTAACAGTGAGACATACTTCGCACACCAACAAACTACTAGAGATTTTGACTCGCAGCCGAACATAGCGATGAAAATCCTATTAGAGATTTGACTTCGCACCTGAATATAATTATTTTTCATTTAGAAGTTTTCACACATTGATATAGCAACGATGATTACCGTTCGAGAACTGAAAAGGATTGCCAAAAAAGGCTGAGTGATCGGTTACTCCCGTTTAAAGGAAACCACTGCTGCTGACATTACTTGTCATGAATGACGAACAACGACAACCCACGGTGAAACAGCTCAAACTCCGAGCGAAGGAACGTGGGCTCAGAAATTATTCGCGCATAAGGAAAGCCGGGCTCGTCGAACTGCTGGAGGAACACAAACCCGTCGTACTACGGTTCTTGTGGACGAAGCACGCCATAGGTAAGTATCTGAGAGGCTGGAGGATGGACGTCGACAAAAAAATGGACGTCGACGACATCAAACCCCTGATCGCCGAGGAACTGAACGATCTGGGAAGCCTCAAATTTCAACTCACGGTGAGATTGTCGCTTGACAAACAGCAGACGGAAGGCATCAACGAGCACATCCAGCCTTACTTGAGAGGCAAGCAAGAAGTCACGACTCAGCCCGAGTCTGTCGACGCATCCGTCAACACCTCGTTTGCAAAAATACGAGAATCACTGAAACGCCAAACTGCTGGAATCCCACCGGGAGGATTGCCGAGGCGTGGGAGAGATGGACATCTGCATAGACATGCCTGACGAAAAGAAAAGCACGCTAAAATTCTTCAACCACAAACATCAAATGCCCGTGCCCTACGTCATCTATGCCGACTTCGAAGCCCTCATCAAAACCGTCGACACTGTTGCGCCATCGTCCCCGGAGAAAAAAGTTTCACGCATAAAACTCAAGAACACAAAGCCTGCGGGTTCGGTTACGTAGTCGTTTGATTCGACGGGGAAAGGGAACACTCCTGTGGTCTTCCGAGGTCCCGTTGCGGCCGAATGATTTCTCATGTGTTTGCAAAACGAAGAGAAAATCATCAGGAAACAGTTGTACACCATCGTCCCCGTGCGCAAGACCCAAGACAACTCATAAGAAAGCTAAGAAATGCCACGTGTGCGACGAACCCCTGAATGGGGATGTTATGAGAGATCACTGCCACATTACCAGCAAGTACAGAGGTGCCGCTCACAACGTGTGCAACTTGAAGCTCAAAATCAATCCCAAGACCATCAAAAGCCTGGTCGTGTTTCAGAATCTTCGCGGTTACCATTCTCAACTGATCATGCAGGCCATCACAAAGGTCAACGGCAACATAACGTGTATCCCCAACAACGTGGAAAAATACTTCTCGTTCTCGTTAGATGGTCTTAGATTTATCGATAGTGTTCTGTTCCTGCTGTCGTCTTTAGAAAGTCTGGTGAATGCCAACGACCCGGACGACTTAGACATCACCAATCAATACACCGACGCAGAGACTCGACCCCTGCTGCTGAGGAAGGACGTCTACCCCTACGAGTACATGGACGATTGGTCCAAGTTGGACGAGACGCGATTACCCCCCATCGACCAATTTTACAGCAGCTTGACCGACTCAACCATCACACCGGACGATAACGCGCACACGATTAACGTGCGGGACAAACTGGGTTGCAAGAATTTGGGCAATTACCACGACCTGTACTTTAAAACGGTAGTGCTGCTGCTGGCCGACATATTTGAGATATTCAGAAAAACGTGCTTGAAGCAGTAAGCCCTGGATCCCGCTTGGTATTTCTCATCCCCCAGTTTCTCTTGGGATCCCTTGTTAAAAAAGACAGGCATGGAGCTGAAACTACTGAGGGATTACGACATGCACCTGTTCATGGAGAAAGGCTTGCGAGGTGGGATTTCCATGGCCTCCAAACGATACGCCAATGCCAACAACAAGTACATTCCTGGTCATGACCCCGGCAAACCGACCACACACATACTCTATCTTGATGCCAACAACCTGTACGGCTGGGCCTTGCGTCAGTATCTCCCCACTGTGGGATTCGAATCGGTCTTCTCACCCGAGATGATTGACGTGAATAGCAGCGCGCCGGAATCAAACAAAGGCTATGTGCTCTATCCTGCAGAACTACATGAATTGCACAACAGATATCCGCTAGCTCCAGAACGATTGACGGTGAACCCGGACTGGATGTCTGAATATCAACGAAACATGCTTGGAGACAATAAGCCGTCTAACGTCGAAAAACTCGTGTCGAACTTGATGAACAATCGCCATCTGCAGCTGTACTTGTCGCTGGGAATGAAACTCACAAAAGTACACAGAGCGCGCCAGTTCGATCAAAGTCCATGGATGGAGCCCTACATAAGAATGAACACGGATTTACGAAAGCTATCCACCAGCGATTTCGAGAAAAACTTGTACAATGTCATGAACAACTCGGTGTTCGGCAAGATGATGGAGAATTTGAGAAATGCGTTAACGTGAAATTAGTCAGGAAGAAAAAAATCAGGAAACTTATAGCCAGCCCAGCGTTCAACCGAAGCAAGATATTCGAGGACGACTTGGCAGCGCTGCACATGAACATCAAATTCAACCAGCCCGTTTTCGTGGGGATGAGCATCCTCAACTTATCCAAACACTTGATGTATGATTTCTACTACAACGTGCTGACGAAACAGTATGGCGACAGATGTGAAGTGCTGTACACGGACACAGATTCCCTGCTGGAAATTCACACCGAGGACATATACGAGGACATGAAGAAACACATGCACCTGTACGACACCAGCGACTACCCTAAAGATATCCCTATGCACAGCCAAGTCAACAGTGCTCAGCAAGATGAAGGACGAATGCGCGGGCACACCGATTGCCGAGTATGTCGGCTTGATACCCAAGATGTATTCCATCAAGAAAGCCGCCGCCGACAAAATCCGAAAGGCGAAAGCCGTGAAAAGCATGTGGTGAAAAAACCAGATTCAAGGAAGCCCTGTTCAAGAATAAAACGTTCAAACACCACATGAACATGCTGAGAAGCGACAAACACAGGATATACGGACTGAGAATCAACAAGACCTTGCGACGGAGTCACCACTTAGGTGTACGGGCTCAAACGCATATCGAATAATTGAACATACATGCTCACATATATCATGGAGAAATTTTAATACAGCCCGTGAGGGTACTGGAAACGCGCGGATGCCATCCCGAAACTCGCCAAAGCCGCTCAAGTCTCGGAAGAGAAAGCCAAAGCCTTGCTTAAAAAACAAGCCATCTGGCAAGTCTACCTGCCGGTGCCTCGGTACATCACGAGAAGAAAATTCGACATTTCAACGCTGAATTGCGTTCACCAAGCCGACCTACTGTTTCTGCCTCACAAAAGGGTGAGGCGCAAAACCTATCAGTATGCCCTGACCGTCGTCGATGTCGCCAGTAGCTACAAGGAAGCCGAACCATTGACAACGAAAGATTCGAACGAAGTCCCCAAAGCCTTTGAACTCAGTCGCTTGACATGGCCTACCGTATAGCAAGTCGATTCCGGACGCGAGTTCATGGGAGACGTGTCAAAGCTGCTGGCCAAGCACAAAGTCCAAGTGAGACGAGGTATAGTGGCAGCTCACCAAACGCCAAACGCCTGTTCTTGCACCAATACTTGCAGGAGTTAATGGATCCCGGAAACAGAAACATGGAATGGGTCGTACGCTTACCGCGAGTGGTGGATAACATCAACAACGAAGTCACCAAACTCGTGGGCAATACACCCGTTGAAGCCATCAAAATGAAATCTGTCGAATCGGCGTCGGCAGCAGCATGTCACCATTAAACAGCGAAAACATTACCGGACCGCGTCAGCGTAAGGTACTTGTACCAGCCGTGAGAATACGAGGGAGACAACAGAAAACGTGCCACCGATCCGATATTGTCCATGAAAAAGAACCAAAAATTGTACTACTTGAAAAACGGACAGCCGAGAGTATTCGTCCGAGAGGAGTTGATGATAGTAGCTCACGACACAGTCCCTTACACATCACCCACCGTGTGATGATAGTTTCATGATTTTTTATCAGTCTTGCAGGCTTATTTTCCTACTTAATGTAGCCAGCCAGCCAGCCACCCGTACACCAAGCCAAGAGAGACACACGCACATGCACTGCGACTCATCCACCCACAGCACTCGGAGGAGCAACCACCCCCGAGGCGACCCGAGCCTTTTTCCCCACCAACCCTATGCTCACTTAAAAGTCAATATTTCAGAAACTTCGACCGATTTACATCAAATTTTGCATGCACCTCAGTAGTAGTATACACAATGGAGCTACGGGATAAGGGACTCCTCAAGAGCTCAATTTTTAAATTGAGCCCATGGGGGGGAAGGGACCTGGTCCCGTAGCCCTTTTGTGTATACTACTCCATCTCAACCTTTCCTTAAGAAAGAGTAAGCCTCACCTTAACCCCTTCTGCAGAATGTAAACCCAATCTCAATTCTTTCAGGAGGAAGTAACCCCCACCTCTACCCTTCCTTGGGAAAGAAAACCCCATCTCAACACTTCCTGGAGAAAGTAAACTCCACCTGAGCCCTTCCTGGAGAAACTAAACCCCATTCTACACTTCCTATAGAAAGTAAACCCCATATCTACCCTTCCTGGAGACAGTTAACCCCTTCTCATCATTTCCTGGAGAAACTAAACCCAATTTCTACACTTCCTGGAGAGAGTAAACCACATCTCTACACTTCCTATAGAAAGTATACCCCATCTCAACACTTCCTGGCGTAAGTGTGCCCCACCTCTACCCTTCCTGCAGATTAAACCCCATCTCGTCTTGTGCACCAGGTGAGTTAGTTCACAGTGATACAGTGGGAGACTATGTAGCTCACCATAATACAGTGGTAGACCATGTAGCTCACAGTGATTCAGTGGGAGACCATGTAGCTAACAGTGATACAGTGGTAGACTATGTAGCTCACAGCGATACAGTGGTAGACCATGTAGCTCACAGTGGTACAGTGGGAGACCATGTAGCTCACAGTGATACAGTGGCAGACCATGTAGCTAACAGTGATACAGTGGTAGACTATGTAGCTCACAGCGATACAGTGGGAGACCATGTAGCTCACAGTGATACAGTGGTAGACCATGTAGCTCACAGTGGTACAGTGGGAGACCATGTAGCTAACAGTGATACAGTAGGAGACCATGTAGCTAACAGTGATACAGTAGGAGACCATGTAGCTCACAGTGGTACAGTGGTAGACCATGTAGCTCACAGTGGTACAGTGGTAGACCATGTAGCTCACAGTGGTACAGTGGTAGACCATGTAGCTCACAGTGGTACAGTGGGAGACCATGTAGCTCACAGTGATACAGTAGGAGACCATGTAGCTAACAGTGATACAGTAGGAGACCATGTAGCTCACAGTGGTACAGTGGGAGACCATGTAGCTCACAGTGGTACAGTGGTAGACCATGTAGCTCACAGTGGTACAGTGGTAGACCATGTAGCTCACCATAATACAGTGGTAGACCATGTAGCTCACAGTGGTACAGTGGGAGACCATGTAGTTCACAGTGGTACAGTGGTAGACCATGTAGCTAACAGTGATACAGTAGGAGACCATGTAGCTCACAGTGATACAGTAGGAGACCATGTAGCTCACAGTGGTACATTAGGAGACCATGTAGCTCACAGTGATACAGTAGGAGACCATGTAGCTCACAGTGGTACAGTAGGAGACCATGTAGCTAACAGTGATACAGTAGGAGACCATGTAGCTCACAGTGGTACAGTGGGAGACCATGTAGCTCACAGTGATACAGTGGTAGACCATGTAGTTCACAGTGATAGAGTGGTAGACTATGTAGTTACACCGTGATACAGTGGGAGACCATGTAGCTCATCGTAATACAGTGGTAGACCATGTAGCTCACAGTGGTACAGTGGGAGACCATTTAGCTCACAGTGATACAGTGGTAGACCATGTAGTTCACAGTGATACAGTGGTAGACCATGTAGCTCACAGTGATACAGTGGTAGACCATGTAGCTCACAGTGATACATTGGGAGACCATGTAGCTCACAGTGATACAGTGGGAGACCATGTAGCTCACCGTAATACAGTGGGAGACCATGTAGCTCACAGTGATACAGTGGGAGACCATGTAGCTCACCGTAATACAGTGGGAGACCATATAGCTCACAGTGATACATTGGGAGACCATGTAGCTCACCGTAATGCAGTGGTAGATCATTTAGACGTGAAGGTGGACACTAAGAAGACCTACCAATCATGGGTGACAGGAAATGGTGGCCCGCGGAATATATATCAATTTCTGAGACGAACAGAACAAAGTGGCTACAGAAATCACACTGTTTAGAATTCGCATGATCTATCATCAGGCCTCCTGCCGTTGTATCAGACTACGTGAAAGAGTGGTATGATTATGTCTCAACTGTATGTAATGGACACGATAAACCTATACGACAAGATAATCATGATACTACCGAGAACTTTCTTATGGATGAGGAACGGGTTTTGTGGTTTCTATTTACATGAACCGAAATCAGTTTTTTTCCGTTTGTGGATGTCCACGAGACCTATCACGAACTTGGTACCATTTTCCCCCAAAAATGTTGTATGAACAAAACCGAAACTGTTTTGGCTGAGACAGACAACTACCCCCCACTATGCTGCAGATGGGACCGTGGCAACATATGGTTTAGATTGCCGTCCTTTGGGGGTATCCTGAAATCTACATATGTTCAACGTGAAGGCAACTTCCATTTATATAATAAAGATTCATTTACATACATAACAAAATAATCTTTAAATATTCTGTGTACTATTTCTTCATGTCACATTACATAATAATAATATATTTGTAAAGCGCCTAATGTCCACCTTACAGATGCTAAGTGGCGCTAATACAGAGATAAAACTGAACATATATACATAAAACAGAATGATTCTCTACTGGTACACAGAAATAGGCGAGTCTTAAGCTGTGATTTAAAGGTGTCTTTAGCGGTTGTATTTCTGAGGTTTGGGGGAAGCGAATTCCAAAGTTGTGGGCTGACGAAAGAGAAGGCGCGTTCAAAAAGTCCATTTAGTGATTCTGGTTGAGTCAAGAGAGAATCACTGGAGGATCTGAGACTCCGCTGAGGTGAGTAAGGGTTTAGAAAAGTTCTTTGAGATAGGATGGAAAGTTTTTATTGTAGAGACATGTGAGTCACGCCTGTCGTATTTTGATAACAGATGCTGAATTCAAATCTAACTTTTGAGTCAAAGAGCATAGATCAGGTTTCAGTAGAAATAATGCCAGTTGTGGCTACCAACACTTCCGTTATATTAGAATATTGGACAAACTATGCCATCGTTCTAATATCATCCCATGCAGTGGACCCTACAGAATGTCAGCAGAAAATGATTGGACTCGACTGTTATGGACAACAAAACCATGCGGACATCAAAGTATTGAGTCTCTTCTAGGTTCCCGAAGGCGTCGACACAACCATGGACAAGGAGGGACGAAGGCCACGTGCTGCCATTCATTTGCAGAACTTAACGGGGCAACTAAACTCTACTCTGGGTCATTAAAAGAAATTAAGCGACTTCAGCAACATTTGCTGATGGGAGGATCTATAGACAGCAACATTTGCTGATGGGAGGATCTATAGACAGCAAGAGCCCACAATATCGAATAGATCTTATAGTTCTGGATGTTGCTTCGAAACGTTCAGTCAAACTAGAACCAGACTCTGCTGAATCAACGATCCCATGTTCCTAAGTCTGAAATTTGCAAGTAAGGGGCTGGGTGCGTTAAATGTAAGCAACACTCTGAGATAAGTGTCAGTTCCTAAAATGTGCCAAGATATTTCAGATTTCAGGAAACACCAACAACACCCATTGCCTTAAACATTTTATGGATTTCAACTTCTATATTGTGAAGGGTCACGACGTTTCGAGGTATATTCTTACTCCTTCAGCAGATGAATGAAACAATTAGGAACAGACAGCTATATAAACTGTTTATGTATATGTTAAAACAACAACAGGTATGAGATAACAAGGGAGACCAGTAGTTAACCGGTAGATGGACTAGTGGAAGCCAGAGATTGTTAATGATAGACAGTGATAACCCTAACCCTAACCCTAACCTAACCCTAACCCTAACCCTAACTGGTAGATGGACTAGTGGAAGCCAGAGACTGTTAATGATAGACAGCCCTAACCCTAACCTAACCCTAACCCTAACCCTAACCCTAACTGGTAGATGGACTAGTGGAAGCCAGAGACTGTTAATGATAGACAGTGATAACCCTAACCCTAACCCTAACCTAACCCTAACCCTAACCCTAACCGGTAGATGGACTAGTGGAAGCCAGAGATTGTTAATGCAGGCATGATTAAGGTAACAAAGGTGGCAATTTAACAAGGGATAAGAAAAACAATTAACTACTGGTTTCCCTTGTTATCTCATACCTGTTGTTGGACTTAGAATCACAGGCGACGTCTCCATCTTCGTCAGCTATTCTAATATGGATCTAAAACACCTCCTACTGGAATTACAAACTTCAAACGCAAGATGTCGAAGCCAATTCCAAAAATGGGCAAACTGAGAAGAGGAACTTGTGGAATGTCCTTCGGGTTAAGTTAGTGGTCGATATTGTCATTGGTAGAATGCACAAACTGAAAAAGAGGCAACAGTATTGGACTGAACCCATTCTGTCCCAGCCGGCTGTTGTCCTGGGTATTTCTGCCCTGCATAAGTTTGTAGTTGTTCCCACTAACAACAGATAACATAACCGTTATTATATATCACACGTATCATATCAAATAATGTCACATATAGGGCCATACATAAGGAAGCTATCAATGCCCCTACATGTGGAGGTCGTCGTAATTTACACATTTGTGTTCCCCTGTGATGGGTATTAATATAAGAACAGTTATAAATTGTCAAAATTCTTTAAAATTGCTATTACATTCCAAACATTGTGGACAATGCATGCATTACACACATTAACCTAAGAATTTAGAAACCTATTTGTATGTTTGTCTTTGACACGTGAATATAATCAAATATCGTGGGCTACGTCTAATGATAACATCTGTCTGTAAAGTGTATATTCGGTTCAGTATCGATCAGGCTACATATGGAGTGGAGAACTGCACGGCTCCCCTGCCGTGACAAGGTGACGGTAAATCTTTCACTGACCCCCCACTGTTTTACACATTGATCTTAGTCCAGATGTACGACCCATGGTCTTTCAAATATGACTGTGACAATAAATTGTTTTAGCTGGTTGACTAACTGGTTTTAGCCGGGTGACTAACTGGATATGGTTAAGGCTAACTGGTTATGGATCTGACTGACTGACTGAGTTTGGTTTTACGCCGCTTTTAGCAATATTCCAGCAACATCACGGCGGGGGACACCACAAATGGGCTTCACACATTGTACCCATGTGGGGATTCGAACCCGGGTCTTCGGCGTGACGGGCTAACGCTTTAACCATTAGGCTACCCCACCGCCCCTATGGATCTGAGGTCATATTGCTAATGACGTCATTTTATGTTGTAAGCAACAAGTAAATGGTCGTGTTCGAAATAAAAAACGAAATACCAAACAGGGGCTGGTCTGTGTGAGGTGATGGGCGTTGACAGGGGCTGGTCTGTGTGAAGTGATGGGCGTTGACAGGGGCTGGTCTGTGTGAGGTGATCAGTGTTGACAGGGGCTGGTCTGTGTGAGGTGATCAACGTTGACAGGGGCTGGTCTGTGTGAGGTGATCAGTGGTGACAGGGGCTGGTCTGTGTGAGGTGATCAGTGTTGACAGGGGCTGGTCTGTGTGAGGTGATCAGTGTTGACAGGGGCTTGCCTGTGTGAGCTGATCAGCGCTGACAGGGGCTGGTCTGTGTGAGGTGATGGGCGTTGACAGGGGCTGGTCTGTGTGAGGTGATGGTCGTTGACAGGGGGCTGGTCTGTGTCAGGTGATCAGTGCTTGACAGGGGCTGGTCTGTGTGAGGTGATGGGCGTTGACAGGGGCTGGTCTGTGTGAGGTGATCAGCGCTGACAGGGGCTGGTCTGTGTGAGGTGATGAGCGCTGACAGGGGCTGGTCTGTGTGAGGTGATGGGCGTTGACAGGGGCTGGTCTGTGTGAGGTGATGGGCGCTGACAGGGGCTGGTCTGTGTGAGGTGATCAGCGCTGACAGGGGCTGGTCTGTGTGAGGTGATCAGCGTTGACAGGGGCTGAGGCTCTGTCTGTGTGAGGTGATGCTTGAGCGCTGACAGGGGCTGGTCTGTGTGAGGTGATGGGCGTTGACAGGGGCTGGTCTGTGTGAGGTGATGGGCGTTGACAGGGGCTGGTCTGTGTGAGGTGATGGGCGTTGACAGGGGCTGGTCTGTGTGAGGTGATGATGCGTTGACAGGGGCTGACAGGGGCTGGTCTGTGTGAGGTGATCAGCGTTGACAGGGGCTGGTCTGTGTCAGGTGATCAGCGTTGACAGGGGCTGGTCTGTGTGAGGTGATCAGCGTTGACAGGGGCTGGTCTGTGTGAGGTGATCAGCGTTGACAGGGGCTGGTCTGTGTGAGGTGATCAGCGTTGACAGGGGCTGGTCTGTGTGAGGTGATGGGCGTTGACAGGGGCTGGTCTGTGTGAGGTGATGGGCGTTGACAGGGGCTGGTCTGTGTGAGGTGATGGGCGTTGACAGGGGCTGGTCTGTGTGAGGTGATGGGCGTTGACAGGGGCTGGTCTGTGTGAGGTGATGGGCGTTGACAGGGGCTGGTCTGTGTGAGGTGATGGGCGTTGACAGGGGCTGGTCTGTGTGAGGTGATGGGCGCTGACAGGGGCTGGTCTGTGTGAGGTGATCAGCGT